CTGAAGTCATGTGGACTCCTGGGTGCTCAGGAACCGAGACCTGATCTCCTTCCCTGTTTTCTGGTGAAATTGGCTAGGAAACTTAGCATTTTCTACAGGAATGTCCAAATTCTCAAAGCAAGTATTTGTATTGAAAATGTTTCCGTAATCTCCAAAACCATTTACGTCGTGTGACTAATAGGTTCCAGAGCCGCATCTATTACAAGAAATCCGTGCACGGACCCTTCTGGCAAAGGCTGTTCTACATCAACTCGGACAAGGCCTGGACCTTTTCGACATTTCTCCTCCTCGCAAAATGTGATATCTTGAAGATAACCCCAGAAGAAAATTGACCTTATAAATTCGGGAAGAAATTGTGCAAATTTTCTTTCAGTTCTCCGATACAATTTCCCACAATCCGCTCGGTAAACGAATTTGTCATCTTTCTTCCCGTTCATCATCATCATCATCATAACCGTCTGCTCCTCCTCTTCCCGCTCCTGGAAAAAACAAAATGTCCGTGTCTCGACGTGGCTTTCCTGTTACGCCTTGAAAATGTAGGGGGCGGGTTTCAGGCTCCGACTTGGTCGCTCCCCGTCACGAGCGAGGAGTGATCACCCGTTTGGTAGAGCAAAGCAAGGGGGGACTATTGTTGGAAGGCGGCGAACGGCGGTGCTGCTCGCGCCCAGTCGAATCCGGCGCCGGGCGGAGAGACGTACGCCGTCACTGAGTGCAAGTTCCCGCCGCGGTCTCGGGTCGGGTCGGGCACGAAAGCTTTTCCGAGATCAAGGGGTCCTTCCATTGTTCCTGTTAATTAATTCGTAATCATTTATTTATTTATTTCGCTCGGTAGAACATATACGTTCAGAAGAGATGAATTTCGACGCCGAAATTCATAAACGGAGATAAAACCAACAGGAAGATTGAATGATTCACTACAGGCCATAATAAAACTATCCAATAATATTAAGTTAGAAACATTTTGAAATCTTTAAAGTCAAGGAAGTAGCACACATGGTAAAAGGACTATGGACTCAAATTTCAAATTTACGCTCTTTCATTCACAGGAAATACGCATAGTCTCAAAATTTCATTGTTGTAACATTTCCAACCATGCATGACCAATTAATCCAAACATGTCTGAATTGAAAACATATCCTAGTGAATTTTAAAGCCTAATTCACAATTTTGATTTTGCACTCTTTAATTTCAATTTAAAATACAGAATGGAGATTTTTTTTAAAACAAGGCTCACCTTGGAAAGGCAGGACAGGCTCGTAGGGGCGAAGCTCAGCGACGGACTGTTCGTAACATCGCAGGTCCAGTCCGCGCGGTTCGTTTTCCAAAGCGAATTGTCCACTCCGGACAGCACCGGGTGTTGGCTGGAACGCCGACGTCTTCAGGGAGAAGTCCAATGCCCCGCTCTGACTCTGATACCTGCAGAACGAAAATTGAAAACTTCATTTTAAAATTGTCCTTTTGGGATATTTTCTCAGTCAAGACACAACCGTCACACACCAGTAGCAATAAATCTAAAATACCCACAGTCACGTCTATAGGAAAGGATGCGCAATGAGAAATTATCCTATCAGTCTATTTCTCTACCAAATGGTTCACCAAGAGGTTCAAGAGGGGGGATATTTTCACTCCATAGAGGGGGATCTCTCTACAACAATCCGGTTTACAACAGTCTTCTGTGTACAGTGCAGTACTACATAACAAATTTTCTCTGCGGCCTCTTTCCATGTTATAAAACTCCATAACCAAATTCTCTTCACAACAAATTTTTCTCTAATCCCTCGAATTTCAGTCAACTCTCTCTGCTTTCTTGCAGAGCCAGGAACAATCCTGCGCACAGGCAGGATTATCCTTTGTTTACAGCCAAGAAAGCCAGTTTGCATTGATTTAAGCAACACCTGTCTGATAATCTAGAACAGTGTTCCCCAACCAGTGGGAAATTTTTTGCCGGTCTGCGAGAAATTTTCAGCAAAACACTTGATAAAAGTAGCAATGAAATATTTCATCATTACCTAAACCTTTGGAAAGACAGGCAGTTGAAAGCATTCGATGAAACATGAAAGTTGGCTTTTATACTAATAACAGTACCTCAGACACAATTTTACCTGCTGGAATAGATTATCTTCATGTTCACCCTTCTAAGTTATTGATGACATTCAGCTATGCTTCATAGGTGCTCAACTTAATTTTTGAAAGAAGCAACAACTTTTATATACCTGCCATAGAGTCAATCAAGCAAAATTTGTTCCAGTCTCTAAACATTTTATGAAACTTTGCTGGTCCGCAGAAAATTTTTTGGGAATTTTCCAGTCTGTCAAAAATTTCATGGAAATTTGCTGGTCCAAGGGCACAAATAGGTTGGGTACCACTGATCTAGAAGGTGAGTCCCAGAGGTTGAGGGAGGTCAGGCCTATACACTACTTCTTTACATCATCCCTCCTTCCAATAAAGATGATAATAAAAATTGGTATGACCCCCTCCCATCGTCCTCCCTTGGTCACTTTCAAATGAAAATGTTTTCCAAACGTTTCTTTCCCTTGCAATTTTACACAAGCAACAGTTCCCTAATAACAATAACAAGACCACAAAAAAAAAAAAAACAATGCTGACCCTTGAGAGTTGGACGGGGTGTCGGGCCGAGATCCGATGGAGGGGCTGTAAGAAGAGCCGCGCGATGAGTAGGCCGACGACGTGGCCGACGTGGACCGTGCGGAACTCAGACTGTCGGCATAGGCGCCGCCACCACCACCACCACCACCTGCAGTAGCGCCAGTCGCGGGGTCCGCCGGGTTCCGGAAGCTCGTCCCGGGTTCCAGAGGTTCCCCATTGCCCTGCACCAGTCCTAGACTCGCAGACAGTTGCCGGAACCGGATGGTAAGCAGTTCCCGCTTCTCGGTCAGGCTCTCCTTGGTGTTCACGTATTGCCGCTCCTTCTCCTCGAGATTCTGCGGAAGAGACGAGGGTTAATTGGGAAAATTCAAATTTTCAAACGTCATGTCTCAGATAATGGACTTGACCGATCATGATCATAGTCCGTTATCTGATTCGTGTACAGAGTTCCTTGAAAATTCCCTTCTCCTACTGAAAAACAGGTGGACTCTCTCTATATTGAAATCTAAGGGACCAGAAAAAAAAACGGTGTGTGGTGCAGAGTACCCTTATAACATAGCATAGAACTCCAAGGGACCAAAAACAAATTTGTTATGCGACTAATGCAAGAACTCTCTTTTTTTACCAGAACCTTTAAAAAAAAATCAGTTTATAATAGAACTGAACCTTCATAACTCAAACCTTTTCAAGTCTAATACCTGCCTATGCCAAATACTGTATCTTCCAAGTTCCAATGTCTGAATTTGCCTAAAAGCAATGCATTGTCCCAATTTAAAGATTTTCCTTCTCAAACCTCTAAAACTCATATTTCCTAAATACCTTTTGGTTATTATTTCATCAATACAGAAAAGACAAAAGCAATAAAAATGCAACTTGATGCGTTTGGAAAAGAATTGAAACACTAATTGGGCAATTAAACCCATGCCTTCAAGTTCAGAATCCTGTCAACTCATTTAAGGATAAATTCAAGGTGTAGAATATCACCAATTACAATTTCTTGAAATTCCTCTTTCTCTCTCCAAACAAAAATGCTTGTTTCCCAAACTCAAAACAACCTCCTTAACTGAATTTGTTTTCTTCTTCTTTTCTTTCTTGTTCCTTTGAAGTTTAACTTATGAATGTTCAATTGGAAATACAGGCAAGCCTCAATCTAGTGCTACCCTTGCACAGTGCCACAAATTTCCTTGGAACAAATCTCAATTGCGTTCTTAAGGGGAACCCTGATTTAGTGCCAACTCACTTTGTGCCAAAAATGTCCTGCTCTTAATGAAAAATAGGCCAAAATAAAGAGAAATTTAGGCAAATTTCTAGGGATATTATATGGTGATTACTGAAAATCACATACCCATATTCAGGATAAGTAAAAAAGAGTTATTTCAGAATTCACATGAAATTGGGTATCTTAATTTGAATGCCCTCCAAAACAAAGAGCCTCTAAAAAAAAGGAATAGTTGCTTTAAAAATAATTTCAAAATCACCAAGCCTGATCTTGGAACTGTGATTTTGTTGAAAGCTTGATGAAAAAAAAACTGCAAGAAACAGTTCCACTGTTTACTTGGCCCACTACCAAAAAAAGTCTAATGCATTTTATTCTGCTCTATAAAATAAATTTGAATGCAATAAATTAAAAAAAAAAGTTCATTTGAGCCTCAAATTATTTTGTACGGCTTTCTCTTTTATAAAACAGACTCAATAGCCAAAAATTTCTGCAAAAAAGTCTCTTTTACCAATATTGGAAGTATTCAAATGAAATGTCTTTCCATACAATACCATCAATTCAGGGCCACCCTTGCTTAGTAGATCAAAATGTGCCAGGACAAATGATGCCACTGAATCAGGGTTTGACTTTACAGTACCATAATTTTTCACACTCCAACGGAATTCTTGTAACCCTAATTACTCAATGAAGAGGCCCTTTCTGAAATCTTAATGGATCAAGATAAACTGTAGGTTTATATGATTTCTCATCAAAGATTCTCTGCAATTTGTTCATTCAACTAAACCTCATACAGAAACAAGCTGAAGACCTTGTGCTTTAAAGTAATTTTTACATATATATTTTTTTACCAATGTCAGGGAATGAATGGGTGTATGCATACATGCCAGATGTTCCAGTTGTATTTCATTTTGTATTGTATTTTATTTTATTTTCGTTATCAATTTGTGCTTTCCTGCTATGAAGTGATTTAAATGTCATTGAGTGGATTTGGGTTGGATGGGAAGGGGGTTTGTTTGTGGAAATCTTGATTGAACCTTGTGAATGCTGAAAAGCGGCAAATAAAGTTCTGTTCATTCATTCATTCTCGTAATAATCATAAACGATGCCCGGTACAGTATCATTTTCCCCAAGCACACATACCTTGATGTAAGCCTTGGCACGTCTCAGGAGCCCAAGGGTCGTGTGTCGTGTCGAATCTGGTCCCAAAGGTACCATTTCCTTCAGCCTCTCCAGACACGTCTTGAGATGTGCTCTCCTGTTTATAAAGAACAAGAGAAAGGAAAATGGTCAAAAACCTCCTGCGAAACCAGACACGCACATATTTTGCTAAATTATTGCAGATACAGTACTCGTTAAGAGACCAAAGGCCTTTGTAATCCATTCAAAATTCGAAAACAAGGGAAATATTTTGCATCAGACTTGAATCAAGCCGGAAAATACTGGACATTATTTCCTTTATGGTTTGTTATCCGAATCCAGGGTATGGTTTTTATCCGGAACACACGCAATAAAAAATTGTGACAGCCCGTGAAGCGTCTTTTCGAACGGAAATGCCACGTCGATTTTTCCCAAAACTTTCCTCCCGCAATTTTTTTTTTTCGAGTGATTCACAAGAACGTCTGAGAAACCCGACCCGAAACACGGACAGGAGAGAGCGTGTGTGTGTGTGTGGAGGACAATAGAGCCCAGAACCCGTCTTTTCTTAGGGTTCAAGGAGACTTACCTGCACACGCAGGGGAAAATCGGGTTCCGCCAGAAAACTCCAGAAGAAACCCAATCGTTTTTATCGTAATTTTTTAATTAGAAATAATGAATACTGCTGAAAGTCAATAAGTTGAACCTCCTCAAGTTGAATTCCTCCCTAAGTCAAATTTGTTTCAAGTCCCTGTCTGAATTCCCTTAGAATCAATACTTCAGAAACCTCCCTAACTCAAAGTTTTTTTTCCGCTAAAATCTCTGTAAGTCAAATTTTCTGAGGCCTTCTGATCATTATTTCCTTGAAATATGAAAGAGAAAATGATCAAAACAAATAATTTGATTCATCTCAAAAGAAAGTGAAAGACAAATATAGCAAATGAACCCCTGCCTCCAAGTTTGGCAAAGTGCAAAATCATTAGGGAGTAAGTTTATGCCCAAATTATCCTCATTTATGATTTCCCACACAATTACCTCACTTCTCCTTGCAACAGAAGTGTTTGTTTCCTCAACTGGAAACCTCCAAAACTCAAAACCTCCATAAGTGGAAACCTCCCCAAACCAAATTTTTTTCAAGTCCTTGTCTGAATTCCCTTAGAATCAATCAATACACTAAAAACCTCAAAAAAAATCTTTCTCTCTAAAACCTCTGTAAGTCAAATTTTCTGAGGCCTTCTATGGTTATTATTTCCTTGAAATATGAAAGAGAAAATGATTAAAACAACTAATTTGAAGCATCTTGAAAGGAAGTGAAAGACAAATTTAGCAAATGGACCTCTGCCTCCAAGTTTGGCATGGTGTAAGTAAACTCATCAAGGAGTAAGTTTAGGCCCAGATTATCCTCATTTATGATTTCCCACACTTTTTTCACTTCAACTCACAGCAAAAGTGTTTGTTTCCTCAACTGGAAGCCTCCAAAATTTTTTCAATTCATTGTCTGAATTCCCCAAGAATCAATACACTAAGAACCTCACTAACAAAGTTTTTTCTCTAAAACCTCTGTAAGTCAAATTTTCTGAGGCCTTCTAGGCCCTAGGGTTATTATTTCCTTGAAATATGAAAGAGAAAATGATTAAAACAAAAACGTTTGAAGCATCTTGAAAGGATGTGAAAGACAAATATAGCAAATGAACCCCTGCCTCCATGTTTAACAAGGTTTAAACTCATTAAAGAGTAACTTTAGGCCCAGAATACCCTCATTTATGATTTCCCACACTTTTCTCACTTCTCCTTGCAACAAAAGTGTTTGTTTCCTAAACTGGAAACCTCCATAAGTCAATTTTTTTCCTGGTCCCTAGAAATTTGACTTATAGAGGTTCAACTGTATAGGTTCAAGATCTACACTATATATTGTTCCTTCATTATCTTGGGACTAAATCCCAAAAGTATCATCCAATGAGCTCAGACTTCCCTTCATTTATGCTCCGGATAATGGACTGTACAAAAACTGATCAGCAAATTGAAAACAATTCAAGAATTACGACCAAGGTTCTAAATTTCTCTCTTCAAATGAATACAGATCATCTTCCCAACTACAGTAATTCTTTCAAGAAAAAATACATTGCATTATTCCGTTTTAAATAAATAATTTTTCAATGGAATTTCCAATGGATCTGGAAGGAGTCAGGCATTATTTATTCTCAACTGAAGTAACAACCACTCGCACCTTCATCTATTTGCCAAAATTTTGCTAAAAGATATCCCCAACCAGCATCCTAATTTCCACTTTTCAATTACAGGTGAACCTTGCCAAGTCAAGCCTCCCTAAGTTAAAAACTTCCCTAACTTGAATTTTTTTCAAGTCCCTGTATGGATTCCCATAGAAACAATGCATTAAAAACCTCCCTAACTTGAAGTATTTTTCTCTCAAACCTCTGTAAGTTGAATTTTCTAATGCCTTTTGGTTATTATTTCCTTGAAATATGAAAGATAAAATCAACAAAATAAATAATTTCATGTATTTTGAAATAAAGTGAAGGACTAATTGAACAAATGAACACCTGCCTACAAGTTCAGCAAGCTCATTAAGAAGCAAGTTTTGGTCCAGAATATCCTCATCTACAATTTCCCATTTTCCTTGGAGCAAAAATATTTGTTTCCTTTACCCCAAATCTCAAAAAATGTAAACCCCTCAAGTCGAATTTTTTTCTGGTCCCTAGAAATTCGACTTAGAGAGGTTCAACTGTATTATAATAAATCAATTCACTTTTTTTAATTTGCGCTCAAATACAAGACGTGTTTTCCATTTAATTTGCATTTCTTTTATATTCATCTGACATAAAAATTCTTTATTCATTCCAAAAGCTAAATTAAAAATTGAATTCAACTTTTATTTGAGCCTGATAAAAAAAGTTTAAAATAATGAAGCTTCTAAATCTTTTCAAAAGTAAACTGCTGTAATTTGACTACGATATTCAATACGTCATAATTCACACCCCAGATTTTTGGGGAAGAATTCTGGGGAGAGAAGGATTCGTAAGCACCATAAATTACGCGGTTACTGGATCCCCCCCCCCCCCCTTCGAGACACAAAAAGTACGTTAACCGAGTCACCGAAGTAGGTATTCCGAATACTTCTCTCACGCTAGACACCTTAGCCTCTCGAGTAAACAGACCAACAGGGGAGTTTCATTGACAACCATTCTTCCGCCAACAATTCGATGTGAAAATAACCCAATCCGTTCCCACAGTTTTCACGTGACGTAATCGTGAATTTCCAATTGCTTCAGGATTATATACAGTATGTTGGTGGAAATTGATGATTAATTTCAATCCAATCAATTGATCTGACTGCTTCTGAGTATTTGAAGATTGGTTCATACATTTTGAGACTTTTTGAAATATTGTAGATCCAACAGAGTTTCATCAATTTGAAAAAATACAATTTTCCCTTGCATAGCCCCATCATTTGGCAACACTCCAGATGTGTTCAACATGCTCTCTATCGATTTCAATGCATTTTATTTCATGCAATAAATCCATCAATCAAAATAGTGCCAAAAATTGAACGTTCTTCACTTTTGGGAACAGCCAGAAGTTACAGGGTGCCCAATCAACCAACAGAACTTGAATTTTTGGCACTGTTTTGATTGTGCAAAAAAACAAGCATTGCAACCAGTGGATAATATTGTCATCAAATACTTTCTGGGGTTCCCTTCTTGTTAGCAGATGATGCACAAGGCAGCCGCATGTTTTTTACTTTTGCTTTCCTGCTGACATGGGCCATGCCAAGTCACACAACCCAACCTGAAACAAGGTCAGATCCGGGTCTGACCAATGTTGCCCAATCTCTGACCACAAAGTCTATTCAGGCATCTGCCTCTCTTATCTTCTTTAGCTCATTGTGTCTCTGCTAACCATTGATTGAAGTACAGTGAGACCCCAAGATGCAGACATAATTGGTGCATCAAGAGTGTCCCCAAGTCAAATGTCCCTAAGTTGAGTTTCATTTTATCTTAAGACTTACATTATATAATTTGTAATTGGTGTTTTATGGACGAAATACTCCGCATAATTCCATGGAAATAAAAATTTTCTCCCAATTCCAACTGATTCAATCAGTATATTTCAACACAATACTGTATGGACATTTGGGGAACTGAATTTTTTATGGGAAAATAAGTGTCCTTATGTCAAATTGTCCGCAGGTTGAGGTGTCTGCATGTGGGGGTCTCACTGTACATGTTACTGTCATTGCAAATTCTTGTTGAATGTGGAATAAAAAGCAAAATTACCCAAACCTCGAAATTTACTTTAAAAAAACGAAACATTTTCAAGGATAGATACTGAAGATCACTTATGCCAAAAATGTTGTCACTTCTTTTCCCAAAAGCACTTCTCTCTCTCTCTCTCTAAAAATAAAACGACAAAATTAAGGAATTAAGTGCTGTATTTAGTGTAATTACTGTCCTGTGATATCTATTCACACATAATTTCCAAAATATTACAAGCACGAGACAAAAAATAGCATTTGTGTCTTGTGCCAGATCAAAATTACCCAAACCTCGAATAACTTTGAAAACAAAAAACAAAACCTAAAGTTGATCCAACATATAAACCCAAGAAAGAAAGAAAAACATGAATAAAATAATATTTCGAGGAATTTTTTTTTCTTTTTAATTTTGTGCAGGACCCACCGGTGCTTCTCCAGTTCGTTGTGCGCGTTCCTGGGCACGGGTTTGAGCAGCTTTTCGCTACTGCTGCCGCCGCCACCGCCGCCGCGCTTGGCCGCCTTACTACTCGCACTTCCCCCACCACCACCACCGCCGCCGCTGTTGCTGTTGCTGCTGCTGCTGCCGCCACTGCTGCTACTATTGCTGCTACTGCTGCTTCGACCAGTGCTCATGGCACTGGGGTTCGTGGCGGCTGCTGGGCTCGCCTGGCCCGACACCGACGGCGACGAGCCCGCACTCACGTCATCCGACTCCGCACCTGCCCAACCCGAAGACGAGAGGAACCAAAGGGATCGCTATCAATAATGGCAGTCGAAACACGACAGTCCTTTTCTGATTCTTCTTCTTCTCATCAAGGGAATAGTATTTTTCTTTTTTCAAGGGTGACAGAGAGAATAGATGTATTATTCAAAAAATAAAAATAATAATAATACAAAAATGTAATTGGAAACGCAGGCGCCGAAAAAATAATAATTGCCATATCCCCCCGAATGTTCGTGGGGAGAATGTCACCGAATTATGACACCCACAAAAGTATTTTCTCGCTCGGGTAAAATTCGAAGGAACCTCGAATTTTCGATTTTTTAAAGAAATTATTTTTAAAAATAAATGGCAATTTCGATGTCCGGAATCGTCGACAATCGTCAACAAATTTAAAAACGCGTTCCTCGTGAAGATCTGGAGTATTGTACAGTATAATTTAATCCTAAAAAGCTTTTTTTGTTCTTTCACGTGACATTCCAGAATAAACCGAGTGACTGATTTTACATTCGTGGGATTTGGAGCATTGAATAGTGTACCTGTGTAGAGTACAGCACATTGAGATGTCGCTATCTGTAAAAATAAAATTCAAGTCACGAAGAGAGAAGGAAGTCCCTCTACGCTATAGCTAATTTTTATTTAAATTAGCTGAATGGATGGGAAAATGATGAGAGAAATACCGAAGAGTTTTGCTTGCATAAATCTTAGGGTTGGAAAAGTCTGTTTCTTGACGTTAAGCTTGATGAAAGTCAATTTTTCTGAAATTTATTGGCGATTATATCTCGCAATGTCCTCATGTCGAGTCAGTGTCCGTATGTTGGGCCTTTTCCATTGGAAAAATAATTGTCCGTATGTCGAATTGCCCGCATGTGGGGGTCTCACTGATCACTGTACAGTACAATAACTTTCATAGCCCTTCAATTAATATTAAAATGCCCGAAAAAATGTAACTTCCGTGCTACCCCAAAATTGTATCTCTACTTAAATTTGCTGAAAATCAATTTCTAGCATGAAAATTTTTTTTTTAGCACTCCGAGTAAATTTCGAAAGTTTTTTTTCTTTTACTGGCGAAATCTATTTGTCTTGATGTTCTATTTGAATCACCTCGT